ACAGTCGTCATCCAATTCTAACGCACATTTGTCATTGTCTGCAAAGGTAGGCACTGCATCGTGTAGTGAACGAGGCGACGTATTGTTATTGACGGCATTAATTAAAGTTATAGGTAAGAATGGTTGTCCATATATTGCTCGTGCTATTCTTGATAGTGGCAGTAACGCTTGTTTAATAACTGAAGAGTTATATCAAAGGCTAGGTTTGCCCGCTCTAAATGTAAATCAGTCGGTAGTCGGTATTAATAATGCTTCGGCACACATCAAGAAGATTTGTAAGGTATCGATAAAATCATTGAATGATAACTTCTCTAGTAATCTTCATTGTTTTGTCCTACCATCAATAACTGAAAATGTTAATTTGTCAAACTTAAAAATTCCATCTATTATTTCTCTGGCAGATCCTAATTTTCACTCACCTGCTCCCGTTGACATGCTTATAGGTGCTGACGTCTTTTGGGACTTAATAGGAACGCAGAGATTAAAATTAAGGGACGGTCAGCCGATTCTTTGTGAAACTAGCTTAGGATGGTTAGTATCAGGTCCGATTGATTATAGATACGTTAAGAAGGGGGTCAACTCTATTAAATGTAATTTTACAAGAATCTTTCAAGATGAGGCTAGTAAAGATTTAGATGAAGATATACAAAAACAGTTAGTAAGCTTCTCGCACCTCGAAGAGGTAAGCCCTGCGCCTCAATATTCAAACGAAGAAAAATTATGCGAAGAACACTTTTTAAAAAACACCACGCGACTGGCAAATGATCGATTTTGCGTGAGGATACCCTTAAAACATAATCCTGACGTATTAGGTGATTCTTGGCCACGAGCTAAGAAGTGTTTACTATCGCTAGAGCGCAGGTTAGAAGGTCGGTCTCAGCTCTATGAAATGTATAAAGAATTTATGTCGGAGTATGAAAGTCTGGGTCATATGGAGAAATGTGAGAATGATAATTTACCACGTAAGATGCATTTTATACCACATTACGGTGTGCTGCGGGAAAGTAGTACTACTACTAAATTTAGAGTCGTTTTCAACGCTAGCAGTCCGACTTCTTCCGGTGTTTCATTGAATAATATACAGATGGTAGGTCCTGTGGTACAGGACAACCTTTTGTCCATTCTTTTACGCTTTCGGCTACACAAATACTTTCTCACAGCTGATGTTGAGAAAATGTAGCGGCAAATAGTCATTCATCCCGATGATCGCTATTTGCAACAAATTGTCTGGCATGATAACCCTTCAGAACAGCTTCAAGCTTATCAACTTAACACCGTGACTTACGGCACTTCTAGTGCTCCCTTTTTGGCAACTAGGTGCCTCCAACAATTAGGCTTAGAGTGTACCGATGACAAGATTGCTCAAGTGATCATTCACGATTTTTACGTTGATGGCTTGCTAACGGGAGGGGATGATATTAACGAGGTTACAGATTTGCGCCGTAAAGTGACTTCCACACTTGCATCAGCTCATATGGTTTTGCGAAAGTGGAAGTCGAATGAATCTCAACTGGTTAGTGAAAATGATATTTCTTCGCTTGATTTAAATATTGGTGGCTTTGAACCGACTAAAACTTTAAGCCTTGGTTGGCAATCACATACTGACCAACTTTGTTTCCCTATAGGAGGGCTATTCACAGGTAAAACAAAGCGTGATATGTTATCTGTGATTTCACAGATTTTTGATCCACTAGGACTTCTATCTCCCTGTGTAATTAAGATAAAGATGCTTCTTCAACAGTTGTGGCTGCTCAAGCTGTCGTGGGATGAGCAGTTGATGCCAGAAATCAGCAAGATGTGGGCTGAGATAATAGTCGATTTACCTAAATTAAATACTTTACGTATTCCACGTCGTATTATTTGTGACTCGCCTAGTTTGTTAGAATTTCTTATTTTCTCAGACGCTTCTGAGCGTGCATATGGCGCCTGTTTATATGTTCGTAGCGTTAATGATCAGGGTGAGGTTTTAATTCAATTATTGATGGCGAAAAGTCGTGTCGCGCCGCTTAAACCTATAACAATTCCAAGTCTGGAACTTTGTGGTGCACTTGTTGGAGCTCGCCTTTACCAAAAGGTTGTAGCATCGCTGAGACAACAAGCTAAGCGCACTTTCTTTTGGACAGATTCGTCCATCGTGTTAGGATGGTTAAAGGTGTTACCTAGCAAGCTACAACCCTTTGTTAGAAATAGGGTTGCTGAAATATTAAAGAATACTGGAAATTGCGAGTGGAGGCATGTCCCAAAAAAGTGTAATCCAGTCGATCATATTTCTCGCGGTGTGATATTTCATCCATGAGTAAGTGGTGGTCAGGACCTGAATTTTTAAAGAAAGAGGTCTCTCACTGGCCTGCAAATTTCTTAAGTATTAATCACGAGTTGCCTGAGATTAAATCGTCAAATGTTATCCTCCACGGAATACTTCATTCTAACAACAATGAAGATTTAGGCGGTAATAAATTAATTGAATTTAAACGCTTTTCTAAATATACTAGATTAAATAGGGCCGTTGCTTATGTGCTGCGTTTTATCAATAATTGTAGAAAGCAATCCGCTCACGGTCCTCTTAGCAATCAAGAGTTGCAAACCGCACTCAATGTTATTATAAGCATATCTCAGAGTGAATCATTTGAGGAGTACACCATGTTAATTAAAAATAAAAGCTTACCCACTAAAAGTCCGTTACATAAATTTAATGTATTTCTCGATGATAATAAAATAATGCGTGTTGGAGGGCGTCTTGAAAATTCCGATTACTGTTATGAGAAAAAACATCCCATACTTATACAGTCCACTCATTATTTTACCAAATTGCTCTTCAATTATGAGCACATAAGGTTAATGCACGCAGGACCACAGCTAATGTTTGCCACTATAAGAGAGATATACTGGCTGATTAGAGGTCGTAATTTGGCCAGATCTTGTTATCAACAATGTGTAAGATGCAATAGAATGAAAGGAAAAACAATCTCTCCAATAATGGGCAACCTACCACACCAACGCATCCTTTCTGGTTTTCCATTTCAGAATATTGGACTAAACTATGCGGGACCAATTCAATCTATTTCTCGCCATGGCCGTGGTTGTAAAATTGTAAAGGTGTATATAGCTATTTTTATTTGCTTCGCGACTAAGTCAATTCATCTTGAATTAGTGGGTGATTTAACTAGCAATACCTTCATATTAGCTTTGCGCAGATTTATGTCAAGAAGAGGGAAACCTCTTAATATTTATTCAAATAATAGTACTTCCTTTGTAGGCGCATACAATGACATTTCAAAATTTATTAAGACGTATTGTAATTCTTTATCTGAGGTAATGGCAAATGAAGGATTTAATTTCCATTTTATACCGCCTTATTCTCCCCATTTTGCTGGGCTTGCGGAGGCTGGTGTCAAATGCATTAAATATCATTTAGTTAGAGTGCTGGGCAATTGTAATTTGACTTACGAGGAATTAAATACCACATTAATACAAATTGAGGCTATACTTAACTCCAGACCACTCACACCTTTGTCTAAGAATCCTGAAGACTTGCTACCACTCATTCATTTCATTTTTTGCCAGGTCATTTTTTGATTGGACGCCCCTTGACTTCCTCGCCGACACCAGACTATAAAGATCATTCCGTAAGCTCTTTAACCCGATTTCAACGAATAGAACAATTACGTCAACATTTTTGGGCTAGATGGAGCAAAAAAATATATATCAGAGCTTCAACTGCGGATAAAATGGCATTCCTGTAAAATCTTTGAAGTTAAATTCACTGGTACTCCTAAAAGAGGAGAATTCACCGCCATTAAAGTGGAAGATGGGTCGCATCGTCGCAGTCCATCCAGGCTCGGACGGCGTATCAAGGGTGGCGGATATTAAAACATCGACTGGTATAGTTCGCCGATCATTTAGCAAAATTTGTCCGCTTCCTGAACCTGAAGAATCTGGTTGAAAGGTAAACTTTCAACGCCGGGGGACATGTTAAAGCGCCTGTCAAATTATATTAGCAGTTCTAATGCCAATATTAGTTCGTAAGCCGTGTAGGTTTTATATATATATAGCCGTTATGTTTTTAAAACAAAATACAGTTGTATCTGTCATCGTTTGTAAAAAAATTAGAAATAAAAAGGTCGATTGAGCAAATTACTGCATTTTATTATTAAAAAGAGATCATATTCCTTTTCATATGCTTAAATCTTATGAGACGTGACGAAACCATGTAGAAGCTGTAAAATCTTGGGTAGAACTTTCACGTAGGCTCAAATCGTGTCGTACGATAGATGCCGAGTCACAGAGAATAATTAAATCAGAAATAGAACACTGGAATAGAATTTTGTTACGAATTTCCACAATCATCAAAATGTTAGCTAAAAATGTCTTGGCTTTTCAAGGTACTTCTGATAATCTGTATCAACATAACAATGGTAATTTTTTAAAACTAGTAGAGTTATTAGCCGAATATGATCCCGTTACATGAACATGTACGCAGCAGTTAAGTAAAAAAATTAAAATGAGTTCATTAATACAATTTTAGACCGTATAAAAACATATTATGGAAGTATCTATCATTACATACATCATTACATCGAAATATACTATTATTTTAGATTATACTTCAGACGCTAGCAAAACTGAGCAGATGAACATGATAATTAGGTATATTTCTTTTATTCAATCCCAAGTCCAGTCAAGAACGTCAGAGATTGTAATAAATGAAAGTTTTTTTAGGATTTTTACCAATCGAGAAATTTACAGGATTGGCACTAACAGAAATTATCGTGCAACATCAAACCACGGGCGTTTTACGTTCCTTGCAGTAGTGATTCTTTAAACTTGTCCTCACTGGAAGCTACAATTTTTTAATACTGTGCAATAAATAAATGTTTTTTTCCATTTCAACATTAAGGTCAATTCTTTTGAAGAATGTAAAAGGTATTGTTATTTTGACTTAGTTTTCGTCATTCAATTACTTAGAAATACAAAAGATTTCTTTATAAATTCACGTTCAGATGAGTATTTTACTCAAGTTTTTGAAGATGCCAAAACCTCAGCTTCTGAAATTGATTGCGAGGTGTTACACTTTGAAAATGTCGCTTGACTTCGTCAAGAAAAAGCAATTCACTTATGAGTGTGTTGACAAACCAATTATTGAGTCCCGTCAAAAATGTAAAATTAAAGTATTTTTTCACATTGTGGATACAGCTATAAACTCCTTAGAATTAGGATTTTTCCAGGTTTCTAAGCACATTAAATATTTTGCTTTTCTGTATAACATATATGCCTTAAGAGAACTCCCAAAAGATGAATTGTTAGAATATTGTAAGAACCTCGAGGCTATTTTAACTCATGAGAATTCAAGTTATACAAATGCATTAGAACTTTATGAGGAGTTGTCAGTCCTTTGTATGTTTTTAAATAGTAATTTATCTCCTCAAAATGTTTCGAAATTTGTAACAGATTTAAGATTTGGTCCAACTATCAGTATTACGCTCAGGATCCTTTTAACTTTACCAGTAACAGTTCCAAGTGGTGAAAGAAGCTTTTCTAAATTAAAAATTGTAAAAAATCATCTGCGATCCATGACACAGAGTAGATTATCTGGATTGGCTATGATTTCAATAGAATACAAGGTTTACGACAGTTTAAATTTATCAGATATTATTAAAGATTTTGCAGAACAAAAAGTGCGAAGAAAATTACTATAATTATAAGGTAGTATTTAATATTCTTTGAAAAATTGTTTAATTTTCACAATTTAATTATTTTAAAAAATGACTGATTCGTTTTGTAGTAATATAATTGTTTTTTATCAGTATTAAATTTTAAAACAAATCTTTTGCTGAGCCTTTTTGGACGTACCGTATGAATCTTAACTTAAATACTTATGAACCGATTGACCATAATAAACAATTGAATAGCTTGGTACTAATCTTTTTAACTTTTTAAACGATTTTGATGAAAAAAATTTATGTTTCTTTAGTTAGAGTTATCATACATAGGCAAGATTAGCCCAAGGCAGGGAAAAATAGCACAAGGGAAAAGAGGCCCATACGCAGCAGTGAGTTGCAATAGGTTGATAAGGATGATAAAGTAGAAAAGTACATAACTATCTCGATAAAAAGATATATCAATTCATTCAGCAGTTTCTGTGAAATTCTTTAAAAGACATACATTGTATACTTACGAACATAAAAACACTCATCAACTTACGTATAGGTACTTCTTCAGAATGCCCAATAGACTGACGTGAATATTAGAGGTAGGCACCATATTCCGGATCAGACAATGGCCCGTGGAGCCAAGAGAGGCGTCGTCGGAGACCTGATACCCATCCGGATGAAAGGTCAGCAGAAGGTCTAATAGGGAAGGTACATGATCTTCCACATTTAGGACCCACATAGGCAAGGTAACCAGTTGTGTCAGACCATATACCTAAGCAAAGTCATAAGCAGATTTAACCGCATGATTGGTTAAATGGGAACCAAGCCTTTCAGGGTGGTGAGCGTTCAAATCACCAAGCATCAAGATCTCTGCGGTTGGGATCTGTTGTAGTACGGAGTCCGATGAGTAGGTCTGTGTCGGCAATACCACAATGGGACATATAGAGGCACCCGTAGACACGGGGATAGTCTTCGCTGTCTACGCTCAGCTATAGGATGGACAGGTTCGTATCTTCAAGGCTGCTGAGGCGTCAAAAACAGATATCCTCTCTGACACACATGCAAACTTCAGCCCAGGGCACAAAGGAGTTCTAATTTGTACCCCGACTAGGAGAGATACAAAGTGTCGGCCGGAGAGGATGTATTTTGGTTAGAAAAAGCAAGGCCGGCTTCCCAACAATATCACGTATTTTATCTAGGTAGGTTGTATACTTAATGTGGCGGTGCTGTCGTCGCGCCGCAAGCGAAACACACCGAAGCCTAAATCACGCTATCAATATTCCGAATCATAAACAGTATATATAGAACATCTCCGAACTATCACACGGAGTGTTGGCCGCTCCCCGGGCAGAACACCTTGCCCGGCGGGAGATCTACCGTAGGACATCTACCGAACACTGTATTGCGCAGAGAGTAGCTTGAAGGAACAGGAAGCATTATTATTCCAGTGCTGCGATGAACCTTGTGAAGCTAGATGGTGCTAGATGGCTTGCAGGATATGAAGACTGCAGACGATATCTGCTCGGGAGCGAATGGGTGGGGTATTTTATGACGATGATGAAGCTTGAAGTTTCCGAAGGTTGTCGGTTGCGTGTTCAGATCACGTCGAGGTTACCACTGTAGCCGTTGAAGGAAAAGGGGAGATCTCCCGCCGGGCAAGGTGTTCTGCCCGGAGAGCGGCCAACACTCCGTGTGATAGTTCGGAGATGTTCTATATATACTGTTTATGATTCGGAATATTGATAGCGTGATTTAGGCTTCGGTGTGTTTCGCTTGCGGCGCGACGACAGCGCCGCCACACTTAACATCCCCCAACATAACTAGCAAGTGAGTCATGACTTGTATGGCTTTGTGTATGTAAAGGGCGGCGAAAATTATCTTTGCCCGAAACGGCTAAGTAGCTAGATCGGGCCCTGACTACTACCCTCCTGATAGTAAGTAGTGATACAATCAGTGAAACGCATGTGTGGTTTTCTTTATTTGAAGTTAGTTGCAGGTGTTCATGAGCTACATGAGACACTTTCCATCTGGTAGACTATTAGTAGACTTTTAATATTGTAGAAAAAATATTTTATAAAATTGTTAACTGGTTCAATGTTTTTGCTTACAAAAAGCGTTTTACTGTCTTGACTTTCATGGATGCAAAACTTGTGGACTTATAGTAGATTGTAAAGTAACCCTTAAAATGATAATGATATACGAGACGCCTACATGGTTACTCTGCTATCTGTCAGAGGCCACAAGAAATTGATTCTTACTTAGCAAACTTATACAACATTCATGTTTATATTCTTACCGTCTACTACCAACAAATTCACCTTACTGTTCAGATGCTCAGCATACAGCGAACAGGTACCGAAGTTGCGTTCGCTTGTATTTTTTAGTTGCGTAAATATCTAGTAAAACATGTAGTTTGAATGTTTCCTTTCAATTTAAGTGTAGCTTAAGCCATAACCTTGTCTTTAACTTGTACTAGAAAGATAAACTTACGGGTCTCTTATTTACATAAGGTGCTCTTTACATTACATGCAACTAACGAATAATGTATCATATTTCTCGTTATTTTAGAAAATGCATTTTTAAAGATCATCGTCTGCTAAGTTAACAATTTAGTTTATGACCTGAAGAGCTAGCATACGTACACACATAAATCAGCTTTTCGGTAGGCTCTCTCTGTTTTGAATTAGGGAAATACATAAGACCTTCAGTTTTCTATGCAGGCCATTGTCAATTCATCTGCGGGTGACGAGGACGTAATGTGATAAGCTATTTACGAGTATGTCGAGCGAAGAGCGCAGTAAATAAAACAAAAGTATTTTATAACACTCTCAAAGAGTTTAATTACTTTGTTCTTGGAACTCAGAAAACGATCGTCGTGTACATTGGCACCTTAAAGTTTATAATTTTAATGTATATTAAATTACTGTTTTAAGGTTCTCTCTAAAATATATGTTTATTTGTAATATGTGAAGGTACTGTAGTTTTGAATCACAAAGTAACTGATATCTACAGGAATGTGACATAGTGAGGGACGCCCCGATTACTTGTGTGCCTTGTAATCGTCAAACTCACACATACACATACGCACACACACAAACGCATGCACACACACACACACACACACACACACACACACACACACACACACACATACACACACACACACACAGCGAGACACTGCAGCGAGCAGGATGCGTCCCTTCGTCCTTAATTTCAAATACAGTTACAATAACCTAAGTTGTACTTTAGTGACCTAAAAATAAATAAACTCACTTATTATGGCTACAACTATCACGACCATTTAGTTTGGCGATTTAGTCAAAATATTTTTATTGTTCAAACTGCGAAGAACGTGCGATATAAACGGATCAATTCATAGACATAATATAAATATAGTTAACATCTAAAATCACAACAGTGAGAGGCGCACGGACGCCTTCTCTTACTTAAATTAAAATAGTTTTATACAAAAATAAAGCACCGCGAAGTCGACAGTAAGTACATAACCTTAAGTAACATTGGGCTTAAGCTTCGCTCGGCGCCCCATCACAGCCGTACAGCCTTCGACCTCCCATAACTCCTACCAAAATATAGCACTTCTTTGTTTTACATCGACGCCCCGGGCACCGATCGCCAAGAAGCTCGCTCAAAGGAACGCATGATATTTACAAAGGAATTAATCTTTTTTATGGAATAATTTTGACAAGCGAGTACACAGCCTACCTGATGATAAGTGCTGTGACCCATAAACATCTACATTTATCTTCGATTAAGAGTCAAAAAACAGATGCGTCTTCCCCCTTGAGAACTGATATGATTGTATCGGATAAAAACGGTTTTCGGTTCTCTACACACACCATACGAAACACAGCAACATTAAGTTGCTATTTTACGTTGGTTTGTGAGAGGTGTACAACTTTAATATAGCTGTAGCGTGGCTCTACCACGTATAAATATTTACAAAGTAATTTGTTTGCAGTAGTGTCAAGCGCTCAGGGCAGAGGCGGCGGCTTCGCGGGGGGCGCGCGGCCGTCGGCGGCCAGCAGGCGGTCCAGCTCGTCGTCCTCGTAGAACACCACGAAGTGCTCGGGTTTGGCCACCGCCTCGAAGATGGAGCACACAGACGGCTTCACGTTGTAGAAGTAGAGCGGCTGGTGGCGAGCGTGGAAGTCGGCTGTGAGCTGCTCGATGCTCTTGGCGGCGGTGTAGTCGGCGCTGTAGATGTGCGTGCACTCCAGCACCACGGGCACGTCGCCGCCCGCCGCGCACTTATTCACCAGCCGCCGCACGTACTCCACCGACGGGAACATCAGGCAGCGGTCGGGCGTGATCATCAGGTACTCCACGCCTCCCTCCGTCTGCGCCACACGTCAACGTCATATTATACAAAATAAACTATCGTCATATATACCTCAAAAGCGACGGCAATCTAATTTTAGATTGCAGACCGCGAACGCAAGGTAGCAAAATAAAAAATAAAAATGAAGAGACCACGGCTGCACCTCGCTAACTTTACGTTCTAGTTGGTCTCAGCACTAGACATTAGTTTAATGTCAATTAGCATTACAGCCCATTGAAACCGTCTGAAAAGTCGGTGATAAGACAATGTATACAAGTCGCTTAAATTGTTCTATTGGAAAAATCATTTTTCCTATTTGGCTACCCTCAGGGGTTAAGTTTATCTCCAAATTTATATGGGACCACCCCTAAAGAATAACGTTTTTAATTTAAAAAAAGATTTGTAATTGATCTTAAGATATAGCTTAATATATTTTCGTACTAAAAACAAATGTAAAAAATAGATGCCGAATTCGAATCACAGTCGTCAATCAAGTCAATCAAAATCAAATCATAGTCGGATTTTAAACTTCCTACTTTTTTTAATAGGCTAAATATCGAATTTTATTTTAAAAACAGAAATTATTTACGTCATTAAAAGTGCCTGCATTTTGTTTTATTCGTATGATTAATTTCAGAATTAAGGCTAAAATGAGTTCATTTTACATTGTTTTCTCATGTAGTTGTTTTGCCGTGTGGTGAAGACGTGAGAGAATCGTCTACCACGTATCACGGAAAAAGTGTAGCAAAGAAATATGAAATATGAGACTGGCAGTATTCACAACATCTTTCTGTTAAGAGCTAAATTAAAAAAAAAACTGCTGTCTGAATAGATAGCAGTTTTTTTTTTGCCACCTGCTGCAGTCAGTACCTATGGATATTGAACACAAAAACAAAAAAGTTTTATCAAAAAAAGTGATTTACATTCTGTAAATACTAGGAGCAAGCACAAGTTATCTATACCAGTTACCCGACTCCTAAGAGCCAGTAATTCTTTAATGGGGCAATGTATACGCTTTTACAAAAAAGTCCCAGAAAATATGCGAATACCTACACCTTATTGCGGCAAAGAATTAATGACCTTGATTTGGATTTGAATAATAATACATATAGAAATTTCTAAAAAAAAAAAATAATAATAATAATAATTCGGGTTCTGGGTATTTGTTCAAATGTAATTTACTGTAATTTAACTTAAATTTTGTAATTAACAAAATCGGACCGAGAGAGATAATTTGATCATTAAACTGCAATACTGAAAACATAAAAACTATAACAGGAGCCATGCCATCCCAACATTATGCTATATCTATATCCTATATTATGCTATATCAACATTATGTTATATCTATATCCCAACATTATGCTATATCTATATCCTATATTATGCTATATCAACATTATGCTATATCTATATCCCAACATTATGCTATATCTATATCCCATATTATGCTATATCAACATTATGCTATATCTATATCCCAACATTATGCTATATCTATATCCCAACATTAATTTAAAAAGGAGCCAAAATATTAATTTATAAGTGCGCCGAGAGGCCGAGAATGTTATACATTCCTATAAACAAAATAAAAAATGCGACAACTAGGACGTTGTAAATTGATTGCGACCTTCTTTTAAGGATTTAAAATACTTGTGCCAGAATTCTACTGCACCTGCAACCTGTAGACACACATAGCTTGACGCCTGTTCAAAACTTACTCTTGTGGGCGGAGTTGACAATCCCGATGGTCGTTTGTACTTAACTTGTCGCCCTTTTCACATTTATGCTTTTTAATTTTCGTAAATTTTTATTCTTATACTCATATAAATAAATACTTGACCTTAACTTTTCCCTCGTTTACGTGTCTTTATTTATTTAAACTATAACAACTTCTTCCTTAATTTAAACTATAAGAACCAAATGTCGACAAATTTATCGGTGCGGTTAGTTTCAACAACTGGTACATAGAACCAGCCGCACCAATAACTTTGTCATTACTATTTCGACGTGGAATATAGATCATTTTTGATGTTCAGTTTTTTTCCTTTTACTATTTTCAGATTTTTTCCGCTTCATATAAGCCAAAGGAAACCACAAAAAAATCTACCATTGTGCTAAATTTTAGGTTTGCTACGGCTACGGTTCATCCTGACTCGTTTCCCCCTGTCGCCTCTTACGACACCCTGATATGGAGTAGGGAATATTTTACAACAACACTACACAGTTTTTAAACAATAATTAACAATATAATATGTTGTAAAATTAAATATGAAAACATTTAGAAACAGCATGATAGTAAGCACCTTATTTTAAATCATGTACTCTTAAGTAGTACCTATAATAAGTAATCCCAATTGAACAACTTTTGCTTAATTAAAAATTTAATTAAAATTACTTCTGCTGAAGCTAAAACTGCAGACTTCTCGGAACGTTGAAATAACGTGAAAATAAACTCAACGCGATAAAATCCGTAAAAGTAGTATTAATCAATGTGGTGTTCGTGTAAATATAAGAAACGATTATGTTACGTGTTACATCTTTTTAATTATTTTTTAATTATGGAGCTTTCGAACCTAGCTTGAAATGATTCATGAAAATACACACACAGTCCGTATGGCTGACTTTGCCGAATATCTGAATAATTGTGGATCGGCAGTGATACCTTGAGCATCTCGACGGAGAGTTTGGGCCTCGCAGCGTGATACAGGATGAAGATGATGTTAACAACAACGCCGGTAAGGATGCCGAGCTCGATGGGCAGCGTCAGGCACAGCACGAATGTGCCAACACCCGGCACCAGGTCCAACTCTAGTAACGATCAGAACCAATTTTAAATACGTTAGGTTCAATATGAATAAAAAACTAATTTCTATTTATCGTTGGCACATGCATGATATGCGATAAGTTCGATGGAAGTTGCGGAAATAGTTCAGAGAAACCGAAGTAAGCACAATAATAATAATCCTTCTCTTCCAGACCGAACTTCAAACCCCGGACCTCATGATTAGTAGCTGCATTTACGACCACCAGGCCAAGAAGCAGTCGCAAAAACACTATAAAGCTATCAAACACAGCTTTACGGTGTTCAAATATTGGCTTCGATTGAGATTCATATTTTAAATTCATACTTAGATTACATTATAATATAATAATAGACCTAGATAATAACTATGATAACATGAAGCTTGTCATTAATGAATATAAATGGAAATTAAAAAGCCACACAGGAGCACCACGGCATTTTCATGCTTGATCGACGACAGATGTGGATACTCGATACTCGTATAAATTTTGTTTTATAGGATAGGATGACAAACGAGCACACAGTCCACCTGATGTAAAGTGGTTGCTGTGGCCCATACACATCTACATCTGTCCTCGATTACAAATCAAAATGCAGATGCGTTGTCACCCTTAAGGACTAAGATGGAATGCCTCGTTTTCAGTAAAAAGGGTCTCCGATTCTCTACACTCACAATACGAAACACAGCAGCATTAAGCCGCTATTTCACGCTGGTATTCTATTAGAGCGTGGTCTTTCCCCGGTTGAGCCGACCCATTCGTGCTACCACTCATAAAATCTATGGGCTACATCATCCACTTACCAAGTAGAATTGAGTGCTCATCTTTTACCTTCATCATCATCATGTTCTTCAACCTCATCTATACCTTTACTAACATTGAAAAGAGTTATAGTAAACACGTATTGGATTACTGGAAGTGGGGTATTCCATCTCAGTATTCAGCGAAGACAAAGCGTCTGCTATTCGATTCTTAATCGAGGATAAATGTAGACGTCTATAGACCATAGCATCCACTTACCATTGTGTGGACTGTGAGCTCGTTTGTCACCCTTATTCTATAAAAACAAAAGCATTTCTCTACAGGATTTGATGTATTTGCTCTAGTTCCACCTCAGGAATGTTTGATGGTTAACAATGAAGAGAGTCAGATACAACGTGAACGACTTACTTTTGGCGCGCCACATTGGCTTCACGACATCGTATTCCACCATGAACAAGATGGCGGAGATAATTACTGCAGCGAGCGCCGCCTTTGGGATGAACTCGAAATACTGCGTGAAGAACTGCAGCGCCAATATCACTATGACACCTGAAATATTGAAATGTGCATGCAATTTGTTATAAGAAGAATCTAAAATCTATCTGATGGCTTATACATATACAATAACACATATAAAATAGCTAGAAAGGTGATATTTAGTTTTATTTTTGCGAAACACCGAGTTCTGCAATCTGGGATTGCCAATAAACCAAGCGTGATGCTTTCAGTAGATAAGAGCGGGTGTAGACTATTGTCCGTGCCAACGGTGCAGTGGCGGTGTGACAATATGCACTGCCCCATATGCACTGCCCCATATGCACTGCCCCATATGCACTGCCCCATATGCACTGCCCCATATCACCCTGCGGTAGAGGGATACTGAGAGTGGATGGAGACGGGCAGCAGCAGCTTTCTGGGCTGAATAAAAATAAAGAACTGCGGCTAGCGACCCGCCTGCAAAACGTGACAACTATGGCAAATATTCCTCCTGTGAGGTAATCTACGGGGAAGGCCTGTGTTCAGCAGTAGACTTTAATAAGCTGTAACGGCAATATTAAAAACAATAAGAAAGGTCCACTGACCCGTGTAGATCCCGTTGAAGGTCGTCTTTACTCCGGAGCCATTGGAGACGACGGAGCGCGCTAGTGAGCCGCCACCAGGGTACGCCTGCATGAAGGAGTTAAACACGTTCATCACACCCAGCGCAATCATCTCCTGGGTGGCGTCGATAGTGCGCCCGTCCGAGAACGCCTTGCAAATGGCGATGTCCTCCAGCAGTACGATCAGGGGGATCACCAGCACGCCGGAGCCCAGCTCCGACAACATCTCCAAGAAGTCGGCCGTGCTGTTGTCCGCGCGCACGTAACTGAACGGCGGTAGCTGCGGCATCGGCACTCCCGACGGAATAGCACCTGCGTTTGATTCATTTCTTACACTTCGCACAGTATCGCCATCCTGCAGCTATGTTATAGTTGTAGCACTAATGGGTCGGCTTGACCGGGGACAGATCACGCTTTCACAGTATACCAGCGTATAATAGCTGCTTAATGCTGCTGTGTTTTCTATGGTGAGTGTAGAGAACCGGAAACCCTTTGTACTGGAAACGAAGCATATCATCTTAGTCCGCACGGGTGACAACACACGTGTTTTTGTTCTTAATCGACGATAGATGTAGATGTCTATGGGCCATAGCATCCACTTCCCATCAGATGTGACTATGTGCTTGTTTCACCTTTATTCAATAAAAAAAATATTATAATGAATTAAATCGACAAAAGCATGTACAAGCCACTACTGCTACTTCTACTTGTGCTAAATTACAAACGATTAAGCACCGTTACTAACCGCCTTTTACGTTATCGGCTGACGTGAGCATTAAAAAGAAAAGCGTTCATCAGATAACACATCACAAAGCGTATACACTGAACAACGAATAAGTTTCATACACAACGATACTAACCCATGAGTCGTACCGGGGAGGAGCCGTGCATCGACACGAACCAGTATCCGAGCGAGCCGGTGACAACCACAACAATAGCATTGCGACATGTGCCCACCATCCATAAACACTTGGTGAGCACCTTCTGGCGCGTACTCGGCCCACATTCCTCTCTAGACCCCAATTTGATCATACCAATTTTCTAAAACACAATAATATTCTCAGTCACTTTAAGGTCAATAAAAGCAATAAAAGCAATACAAATAATTAATTTAAAATGTTTTCAGCTCTAGTTCCCTATTCTAAAAATTATGAAAAATAAATAACAATAGTTTTCTTTTGAAATAAATAGTTATGAACTCACCCTCATAAGCAGCAGTAAGGCGATGCATATAAACCCGAGTACGGGGTCCCACAGTGAGGCGCTGTGCAGATTGCGGAATATGGAAATCCATTGCTGCAAGAACGTGCCGCCGGTGACAGGAATAGCGAACAGATCCTTGATCTGCGACGTGGCGATCATGAGGGCCACTGCTGACGTGAAGCCCGAGGATACCGGCCCCGACACGAAGTTTATAAGGAAGCCGAGGCCAAGGACACCCATTAACAGTTCTACAAGCCCGGTGAGAAAGTTAAGAAGGATGGCCTTCTCGATTACGCCGCCGGCAACTTGAAACGTAAGTAGTGATGCAATGGCGGTGGGTCCTGCCGGGACAGCACGGCAACCGCCTAGAAATATGTAGATGAAGCAGCCCAAGAACGAGCCATAGAGTCCATACTGCGGAGGCAGTCCCGCGATGTTAGAGTAGGCCAGCGACTGCGGGATCACGGTCAGCCCCACGGTGATACCAGCTATTAGATCACCTACGGCCTTTTCTGCATTGTACCTGCGACAGGACACGGAATAATTATCAGCTATGTGTATAGATATGGAGAGAATAAGGATAGCAATTGGACACACAGTCCACCTGGTAAGTCCAAAATAAGTAAAAAATACTAACTAAATATAACGGTTAAAGTTAAGTAAAAGTTACTCCCACAACTGGGCCTACTCTCATTTCTGAGAGGAGGCTTGTTGTGCCCAGCATCTTTTTTCTTATTTCTAATATTCTCAGAGATTCAGTTTTCCTCACGATATTTTTTTTCATCGCCGAGCACGTGGTTAATCATTACTTAAAACTGCAACTAATAGTTTCATTGGTGCCGGCGGGGATCGAACTCGGGTTGCTCGCGTACTGTGAAATTTACAGCGAGCGCTTAATCCCTAAGCTACGCTGTATAACGATTATGCTACATCGTTTATCTCAAGAGAACCATATCAAGCAGAGGCTGGTGCTTATAAAAAGTATTGAAGAAATATTCTAAGATCCAATGCGTTTATGCACGATTCCTACATTAAAGAAACGTTTCGTTCTCCGCAATGATCCGTTTTATGACATACTAGCTGTTCCCCGCGACCTTGTCCGCGTGAAATTTATTACGACCAAATTTCATGGGTTTTAATTTTTTGCGCAAGACCACAATAAGTTACTGTTATAACATCAGCTATCTGCCAGTGAAAGTCCTGCCAACGTTTGTTCAACCATTTCGGAAATCAGCCGAAACGAACAGAAAAACAGACAAAAAATTTTAAAAATTTGTTTTTTATTTTTAAAATATTTCATATAGTTGTGCTCCGCGGTGCCGCCCGCGTATATCACGCATCTGCGCCGCGCGACATGACATGACACCTCGCTCATTTAGTTCAATCATTTTAGCTAAAAATGGCAAAACTATTGGAGTACTTTTATCTATCGGCATATGTATTTTATACAGCAAAGTTAAATTTAATCCACTCTCCCGCCCCTCCCAGATGAGCGTCAACCCCCCGCGTCCTAAAAAGTGCCCCAAAACGCAGTTTTTCCAGTTTTAAAGAGAACTGTAGACGGTACATAAAAAGTGTGGAGGTACGAAAAGATCCTTGATGAATTTTCTATCAACCTTTTGTACATACAAAAGCGATTTAATTTAGAATTTTGGCGCATTCTGCCACAAAATATGAACATTTTTTTATCTCTAATTAATGTAAGCTAGTTCATACCGGCGTTACTATTGCAGATTTTAACATGAAAAAGTAGTTACTGTGACATAACTGTAATACATAGTTAGATATATGATATCTCAGATTTTTTTTGTAGACGTTGATATCTACTACAAAACTGTAGTACATCACGTTGTCACTCTATTGTCAATAGTTTCCGCAGCGTACGTAATAATGTACTATGAAAAGAACAAAAGCATAAGTGTAAAAAGTACATTTTACAGGAGAGCGAAAAAACTAATAATTTCTTAATGTCTTTTTATTGAAAAATCTAGCAATTTAGCCTTTTTAACCTCTCAAACACCAAGCGGCCAAATTTGACCGCTTCTATATTCCGTCAAACTTCAAGCGGTCAAATATGATCGCAACCACCCACAGCACTTTAACCTATAAGCTCTTATGTTTAGAGACTACTTTTCTATGAAGAAGTTTGGTATTATATGATGGAAATATGAAATTTTCTATCCTCTAGTGGAATAAAAAAACAGTTTGTCTATGAATATTAATTTATATTCTACGTTCATTACTGTTGTGTTTATTTTTGGATTTTTCTAGTAATTTATTAGTGTTTTACTATAGTGTTTTATTATAAAATGGTTATGAAAGTTTTTGTGTGAATCTTTTTACGTAAATAATTCCGAGAAGTATATAGAAATAATTGTGATTTTCACGCTGCCGATATCTGCTTGGTATGTTTTTGTTTGTTATCCAAATACAATAAAATCTTTTTGTAATGAAGTAAAACCTGATTTTTGTTTAGACCACAGGATACAGAATTTGGTATAGATTTTATAATGGCAAACTTCTTCATAGAAAAGTAGTCTCTAAATATAAGTTTTAATGATTTTAAATGCTGTGGGATTTGCCAGGCGCATGCGAATGCATCGGAATTTTATGAGGATTGAAGGGTTAATGAAAAATTGCGTCAAAAAATATTCTTTTTTTTTTTTTATAGGATAGGGTAACAATCGAGCACACAGTCCACCTGATGGTAAGTGGTTGCTGTGGCCCATAGACATCTACATCTATCCTCGATTACGAATCAAAATGCAGATGTGTTGTCACCCGTGAGGACTGAGATAGAATGCCTCGTTTCCAGTAAAATGGGTCGCCGATTCTCTACACTCACCATACGAAATACAGCAGCATTAAGCTACTATTTCACGCTGGTATTCTGTGAGAGCGTGGTCCTTCCCCGGTCGAGCCGACCCATTCGTGCTACAACTATACATCTAATATAACTGCAGCATGGCTCTACCACATAAAAAATTCTTTTAATTAATTGTACAAGCTAAAATAGAAGTTACGTAAGTCACAAGTTAAAAATGGATGGTGTTATATGTTTTCTAAAAAGCAAATTTATTTAAAAATAGAACTCCATAAGCCAATTCCTCAATATTGAAAAAAAAAAAAAACAAAGTTCTATAAATTTTTCTGCAATGCTTCCCTCGCTTTTTGTTTAAAACGATGGACCTTAACCGTGAACATTTGCGCGCTACGATCTATTATGATTTTAAATTTGGTTTAACCGAAAAATTAAATTTACAACCGTTCAACTCAACAATAAGCATAAGCATTAGGAGACTCAGCTCCATCACGCGCAACAATTTTAAGGTGGTTTGCTAAATTCAAAAGGGCAAAATTAACCTTAAAGATGACCAAAGAACCGGGGCCCCGCAAACAGCAGTAACGGCAGAAAATGCATGGACTACTGAAATGTTGGTGCGAAAAGGCACACGAATCACATTACGGACATATAAAAGATTGTAGGCATTAGTTCGGGGAGAATTCACACTATCCTACATCAACATCCTGGAGTGAGGAAGCTTTGCTGTCGATGGATCCCTCGTTCGCTCTCCGAAAGCGAAAAGCAGACTCGTATGGATTGGTGCCATGAAATGAGTCCACATTTTGAAAACGGGGCATCTAGGCGTGTTTCAGAAATCGTTACTGGTGAAACAAATACAACAAACAACAAAGACCTCGCAACGTCGACAAAATAATGGTGGCTAGTTTTTTTTTTTGCGAAGCGGACATTTGTCGACGTCAATGCTGCAAAATTGTAGGTCAGTCAACTCTGAATGGTATACTACAGTTTTGTTACCCAAAGCTTTTCAAGCTGTGCAGGAGAAAAGACCAAAGACCGGGCTTCGGGGAATCGTGCTGCATCACGATAACGCCTCTTGACATACCTCCCTTTGAACAAAAGCATTTATTGAGGAATCTGGTGTTGAAACTCTAAGTCACCCACCCTACAGCCCTGACTTAGCTCCTTGTGATTTCCTTTTGTTCCAAAGAGTCAAAAAATAAATAAAAGGCAAGTTTCTTTCAACGAACGAACGTTACGAAGAAGCGATTTCTGACCTGTCAGATCAAGACTGGCAAAAGTGTTTTCAGAGTTGGTTTAGGCGAATGGAACTTTGTATAGAACATGATGGAGAATATTTTCAAAAGATGTAAAATAAATATCAAATATATCTAAAATACTTTTTGTATATCTCAAAACTTATTGAGTGTCCTACGTAATTATTAACTTTTATTTAAATTACGACACTCTTTATTAGACTCTTTTATTTAAAGAGAAATGTATGAATAAATACAACAATCTTCTTTAGAAAATATAACAATTTTTGAAAAAATATTCGGAATACATCACCATGGAATCGAATTAGTCTGAAAAGGAAGTAATATTATGCATTTTTTTCACTGAACTAATTTGTTAGATAATAATAATAAATAATCTGTGTGCCTTTTTTCTGTTTGAAAAATATGAGAAGTACATGTGAATAAAAACATTAACATCATTTCTCTCTAGATAATATCTTCTTATGACTGAAGTTTACTTTGTTATTGGAAAATTAGTTAATTTTTAATGAAATAATGAAAAGCATGTAATATTTTAAATTAAATAACTTTTATTAAAATAAAAACTACATATAAACTTCAAAAATCTCTCGCCTAAAATTAAATTAAAACATTAACTTTGTCTTACTTATGAAATGAGATCATAGGATTCAAAATTATTTAATAATTGTGATACATAATAATACATAAACACTCACGCCTGTCAACCAGAGGAGTACTTAGAGATTACAGACTTTCATTTGGCATCCTGACACACCTCTCTCGCCGCATCCACATCCATATACCTAAGCATTCATGCTCGTCGGTTAAGGGTACTCTTAATTTGGCTTGTTTTTAATGCATTTGGTTGATAAACTTTCGCCTAGGACGTCCCTTTCCAACTCTTCCGTTCACTTCTGCAACATAAATTTGCTTTGTTACTATTTCTCATTCATTCTTTCAACATGACCAAATCACCGAAGCAAAATTAAAACGACGTCCACAACAAAATTAAAACCTATTAATTTTAATAATTAAATTAGTTTTCATTGTTTGGAAGCTGCTGACGTGGGTACTCATGAAAATTAAAAATAGCATCTGACGTGCATAACAAATTTACAACCTATTAAATAAACTAATCTAACGTGCCTTGCAGTTTTTCTGCGGTTAGGTTTTTAAAGAAATTTGGTAATAGGCCGGTATAGCTTTTAATTAACAAACTATTATTATTAAATATATTAAACAAACTATTTAAATCTTTATGAGGAGTCTTTGAAATAAGTAACGGACCATTGTAAGTAGGTTTTAGCTCAACATCTGCTGGTGTTTCATTCCATTTACGTTTACGGAATGAAGGATGATTATAAGTATCCAGCACATAGTAATTCTCTTGTTCAAAGTCACATTTATAGAGAAATTTATCAGAAAAATTAGGATCTGCTTTTATTTCTTTAAAATTTGATAGCAAAATCTTTCTTCCGTCTACGTCATATGCCCAATTTCTGTTTAATGTTTATATAATATGTAGACTTAAAACTGTAAATGTTGGATTGGTTGACTTCGTTTTTTATAAACTTTTTATGCACTGTAGAATTATTTTATAAGTACACTTGATCAGGCGTATAAATAATTTCATGTTTCATTTTTTTCAATTGAGGAATAGATTACAACACCTTTCTGCGTATGACCTGTTTGTAAAATCCTATGCACAATTTCTATGTAAAATTTTTTGTGAAGCATATAGTTACATGAAAAAAATAAACCTATTACGGTTTTTATCTGAACAATTATCGGAATAGAAAGAAATCTGTTTTATACCCCGTTTAACTTCTTCTCTTATAAAGTGCTACAAGCAACTTGCAATGTCATTGGCGCCTCTCTTTGCAATTCGTGCACGCACGTGACCTTTCCGTGCTAATAAATCAAAAACTGAATTATACACAGGGCATTTTCTTTTACAATGAAAAATTCCTACATTACATTGAGGAATGTGTTGAACTTCTTCTAAATCAAAAACTGTAACTGTTTTAATACTTGGTTCTGATATATAATTTTCTTGACCTTTTATTTTTCTAACAATAGATTTATTGTTTAATTGACTGTGATAGTTACCCTGTAATTTAATCTTACCTTCAGCAATATCATATATACTGCATATTTGACACATGTCTTTCTTTGGTCAATGAACAGAAACATTAAATTTAATATTGAATATCTGTCTGTAATATTCAGTTTCAGACAGTTATAGAGCCTATACATCTTTGAAATGTTCAGATTTTCCGACAGGTATTATCTAGTAGATTTTATTATCTAATAGATTTTCTCTTAACTAATGTGAATCTATACAAGGAAAGGACTTAATATTCTCTACTACACTCTGTAATGCCTTGCCTCTTAAATATAAAATTTGTTCATTATTAATAAGCTATTTCATGGTAGTACAAACACTGTTTATAAACACTATTTTACAAACTTTTGTTTTTGAAGCACTGTTGTTATTCAAAGGCAAAAAGTAAATAAAGTTAGTACGATCTCGTTTTCTCTCCTCTCTTACAACCTTTGTTTTATTGATTCAGTATAATTTAACATAAATATCATTAATTTTCATGATCACCTATTTACTAGAACAAGTAAAACATTTTTTTTCGTACTTCATCAAAAAACATTTCAAAACATTTCATTTTACATGAACACGGATTTGATAGTTATTGCTGCACAAGAATGTTTAGTTTTTTTTTTTATTATTTACATACCTTACCTACCTTTATTTTTATCTTTCTTACTATTTACAGATATCCATTCACTAGTGTTTGTATTCTTTTGCCTAGGCTTTAAATTTCCTTCATTTATTAGCAAAGGTTGGTACCAAGAAGCTTCAGCTGTATCAATATTGTTTGCATCCGTAACTTTACAAGTAATATCAGGAGCAATTGGACCAGTATTTGTAACAGATGTAGACAATATATATATAAAACTAAATAAATATACCAAAGTAAATTTCTTATTAGCGATTAATTAAAAACGGGCCAAATTAGGAGTACCCGTAACCGACGAGCATGTGACCGGCGAGAGAGGAGAGAGGTGTGTCAGGATCGTGCCAAACAGGCGTGAGTGTTTATACTTTATATATATTTATATGTAAATTTCATTTTGGTGTTCGTCATCTGCTCTGCGCATTCATCTGCGTTTCGAGGTAAATTCTTCCAATTGAGAGAATTTTATTTAATAGAAGATGACCAAACATACAACATGTAACAAAAACCCTGTGGTTCCCGTTAACTGCATTATCAGAATCAGTATCCAAGCGTATAGAAATATTTTTTTTCAAAAAAACACATTTAAAAAAAATAATTTTAATGAAAAAATAATTAATTTGCAAATTATATGTGGTTTTATTTCCTCTAAATCACACGAGTATCGGTAATGCGGGGTCTTTGACAATCCTCTTACTCCTCGGTCAATGCAGAGATAATAAAACCACATACAATTTGCAAATTAATTTTAAAACAAATATGCTCCTAATTTTTTGTATGATTCAGTGAAAATGTACAAAGTTAAAGTTGTGGAACTGCGACGTATTTGGATAGACACGCAGTACGAAATGTGTATACATTCTTAAGGAACTTTAAGGGAGTCCGCAGTCCCTGCCTACCCGTATGGGTAACAGGAATGACAGTCCATGATTATGATAAATCATTATAATAGATATTATTTAAAGTACTTTCATTAAAAAAAGAAAAGGTGATGCTGTTTCATCCCAACCAAACCAACGTTTCAGGTGTACATTTAGATACAGGCAACTGACAACTGATTGGAGTAATTACATTACCTATAAATAATAGCTCCAGAGACCGTAAGGTTCTGTGTATTTTTTAATAAAATAGTATTAACAAACGAGCACACAGTTTTCCAGTTTTCTTGTTAAGTGTATTCTGTGGCTTATAGACATATTCAATTAAAAATTAATATGCAGATGAATTGTCACTCCTGAGAACTAAGATGTAATGTCCTCGTTTCAGGTAAAGAGAGTCTCCGGCTCTTTTCACTCACCATACAAAATTACAAAAAAACAAAACGCATTAACATGCCATTTTACGCTGGCATTCTGTGGGAGCGTGATCCTTCCCCGTTTGAGTTACAGTTTAGTTTGTGTTACAGCCTTAACATAGATGCAACTTGGCCAAGCCAAATATAAAAAATTATATTCTGGTTCGCTAAAACGAGACCTAAGAGAAAAACTGGCAAGAAATTTTGAGATCTGTTTTTAACGCTACGCTACTATTTCATTTACAACTTTTAATAATATCATTACAGTGTCAATACATTTGATTAAGAGCTTTTGTCATTTGTCAATTTTAATAATAATTTGTATCTCCGGCGGTTTGCAAGTGCAGATTAAGAGACATTTGCAAACATTCATTTTTATAGAACCTAGTTTATACATATACTCTAAGTTTATATCAAATTGCTGCACTATGTTTTAAGAGATTTTATTGTACAATTGAGCAAAGTCAACCTAAAATTTAGGATCCTCTAACGTAGCACCCCAACCGTTTCTTATTAAAATTAGTATTATATTAAACGAATTAGCAAATATTTTTTCCGTATATTCTTAAATCCTATAAAAATATACAACGATTAAGTGTAAAAATATCTCTTTCAAAAGGTCGAATAGTGACTCGGGCGGTCGAATAGTGCCTTTAGAATATTGTCAATCAATCCAGCTGCGGACTCCAAACATAATCCACTGTGGAACATAATATTGTGAAAGTAAGAAACGTAGACTAAGTTAGCTGATGCTCCATCAGTCAGCTGTCTAATAGTTATAACAGCGCAGATTGTGGAACTTATTTTCAACGATAGTTTTTTTATACGTGCTCCACGCCGGAGCTTGGCATATTATTTATACTGTAGCATAACTTTCAGAAATTCCGAGAGGTACCGTCGAACTTTGGCAATCTAAATTATTATTTATTTCTTTATCCTTATGCTAACAATATTATAAATGTAAAAGCTTTGACTGTTCCGACAATTTGTACGTTCAATAACACTGCAACAGTTGAAGGGATATTAATTATCATAACTTGATTCCTCTCTCTCTCTTCCACCATCAAACAATCAGACGTTCGGCCACTCCCCAACCTTTCACTGTCGACTTACCATGCAATCGAACCAAATGGTATATTATATTTTACGTAGATACAGAGGAGTAGTGGAATAAGTTGCCAGCATCTGTCTTTCTATCCGATTACGATGTGGGTGTCTTCAAGGCAAGAGTAAATAGGCTTTTGTTAAATCATCACCGCAACACTACTTACCATCAGGTAGGACAGTAGTCAGGCGCTGGTTGAGAGAGATCATAGAAAAAGATAGTTCACAAAGAGTTTTTAATTTATATAACATTAATAACAATTACTACTAAAGTTTAATTCACGCTAGTATGGCGTTAACAGCTAGTATGACTTATAATCTAGCCATAGACAAAAGAGAGAAAGTATTAAATAACAAGAACAGGACTCACTGTGGTAACCAGGCCGTGATGGGCAGCCGCTTGTGCAAGGTCTTGCGATTGAAGCGGCGACGCAGCGCCATGCAGCATCCCTCCCGCGGGCCGCCGTCTGACACTGCACAGTGCACAGGACCAACACAAATAAATAATCACACAATCGAACATAATTATAATCAACAAAACATGATAAGAAATTCCAATTTGCCGGCCGGTCCAGTACCGTGTGATTCTCGAACAATCATTTGCTGAACGCGTCTAAACCACACACTGAACCTAAATATCACTGTCTGTTTACAATCGGCAGTTGAGGACGAATATATTTTCGTGTCTGCGCGGGCGCCGGCGGGTAGCGGGTACACACTGACGGCGGGGCGGTGGGGTGGTGGTGGGCTGGGGGAAGACGCGGCGCGGAGTTTGCACCTTGCACCTTGCAGTTCCCTATATAATATTGTAGTATTTGTCTCGCAGTGAAGCTCACGGGCTCACGGTCGGACGCTCGTCGCCCTCCGGCTCGCTCTCCAGTTACCTTCCCCGGAATCAATGATGTTAAAAATCTATTAGTTGACAGCTGCGTAATTAATATGGGATGAGGTGTGACGGGGATAATGCACGCGAGACTCTTCAGACTTGGTGACACACGTTAATTTATTTTATTACGCGGATCTTAGCTAATTAATTATGAACAACTTTAATGTATTTCCGCAAAGTAACGCCTGATTCTATTAATTCCGCGCGATCATATGAACACATCGATTCGTTGCGAATAAATCGATTTCACACTTGACAGGCATTATAATATTAAAGTCATCCCGCGAGGTTTTAATGAGAACGACTGCGATCGCGAAACTAATCGGCGAAGCGGATGTTTGCGAATGACTTTCGAACATCGCATGCTATCACGTGCACGAAACACACACCTCCAGACCGAAAGTCGGTCGCAGCGGCCAGTCTCAACGGAGACTAGCCGTCTGCGCAGCACAGGATTACAGTGCGCGAGGGTACACGATATTCCCTCACTCTCATAGTCCGATGGGACGGCTAGCAAACGAACAGAGAGAGATCAGGCGCAGGAGCAACTTTACTTGCTGTCCGAGGCGCGGGGTGAGACACCGCCAAGTTCCTGACTCTGTTCCTACTGCTACTGAGTATTTCTTGACAGAACAACCCAATGACTGATTTGTTCCGGGTAAAGGAATAATGCTATACTCACATATGTAGTCGCTGCTGGCGTGCTTGTCGTCCGGCGGCAGCGAGACGGACGACGCGTTGTGCTTGCGCCGCGGGATCATCCTACGACACCCGACAAACAATAACTCGTTAGCACTTGCTACTTGTTTGTTTGTTTGACAATGTTTACAAATACCTTTACCGTTACAGCCTATTAAGGTCCACTTCTGAACCCAGGCCTCCCCCATGGATTGCCTCATAGCAGGGATATTTGCCATATTTGCCACACTCGGCAAGCGCAGTTTTTTATTTTAGTCATTATTCGGAATACGCTGTTTCCATCTCCTGATTTGTTTCCCTCCATCACCTCTCGCGACACCCCGGGCGACATGGGGGAGGGGATGTTCTTGCATCGCCCCTGCACGCTCAACAAGTACATTAGTTATTAGTTTACAAATATATTGAGATTTAATTTAGTTCCTTTAACACCTTGAGCCATACTGTGTATAGAAAAAAGACCCATACAGATAGATATTTAAACGGTGATTCTCACCACCATCCTTCACAGTTAGCTACCGTGGGTAAATCTTTGTTTCAGAGAGCACGAGGGATCTGTGACAGTAAACACCTGGCTGCCGAGCTCCAACATGTCAAGCAAGTTTTGCACGACAACAAGCTTCGGGTCCCGCGCCTACGTCACAGAGAACGAGTGAAGCCGGCCACAGTCGAGCGTGTACCTGCTGTACTGCCATATGTTAGAGGAGTCACTGACAAGATTGGCTACATCTTGAAGCGCGCTTCCATCAAAACATACTTCAAGCCGCCGAAGAAGATTGGTCAGTTTTTACCATCAGTCAAGTGTAACGTCCCTCTGCAAGATGCAGGAGTGTACAAGCTTGATTGTGAATGTGGTCTCTCCTACATAGGACAAACTAAAAGATCCATTAAAACCCGCGTCAAAGAACATATAGCTGATGTGAAGAATCGACGCTCCGGGAAGTCTGCAGTCTGTGAACATGTACAGGATCGCCCCCGTCACTACATCAGATTTGATAGACCACAAATCCTCGCTAAAGAACACCGATTCCTTCCAAGGATGATTCGCGAGGCTATTGAAATCAAAAAACATCCTAATTTCAATAGAGAAGATGGCTGGGTGCTACCATCTGCTTGGGATCCTATAATAAATAAAATTAAATCCCAACCCAAGCATAAAACTGCAAGACTCCATGATACCATAAGTTCATACTGTGTAGATCGGAACAAAAGTTAAATTTTAATCTATGGTAACCGCGGTTAACTATGACAGCTGGACATTGAACATCTCAGTCCTTCCCGTGACCATGGGTGCTGTAAAGCTCTCGAAACGTCGGGTAATTAAAAAGTTAAATATACGCGATAAATTCCGTAAAAACTAGTATTATTTCAATAGTTCCTTTAGATTTAGATTTCCGTATACTCTCTTCAGACCCTATGTAACTTCAAGTGCACTTTAATTTATGTATGCACCGATTAATAAAATTTAAAATAACTAGGAACAATAAATATTGTTTGAGACGTTGATACGATGAGGAAATTGTGAACATATAAGAGATTATACATTTTAATCATTATAGAACTTCCGCAATAAATTCCACAATAAAAACAACACAAGATACGACGGAAAACAACTCATTTTCCTATCGAGAAAGTCAGCGATAAACATAATATTTAGAAATAAATATTATGTTTACCGCTGACTTTTGTATCCAATTTGTTTGCCAAGGCCGGTTTTAGAGCTCGACCGACCGTCAGTGTCTACCATCGATCCTGACGATATGCATGACCGATCGTCAGTTTGTAGCGTGCAGAGCTCTCCTGAGCAACGAAACTGGCCGGACTGGTACAGTTACAAACACGTACACGAAATGGACGCGTTAATTGTTTAATTTCTGCTCACTATGTTCATAAACATATAAGGAACAGAAGACGTAGATATCAGGTTCACCCGATCGTCGCCCAAAGTGCACTTCAAGGGGAATTTACTACTTTCTATTCATTATTGCGCAAAGATGAAAACATTTTTTTAATTACTTTACAATGTCAATCAAAATTTTTGATGAATTATCAGTGAAATTACAAGACAACTTGAAACATCCGTGAGGCGTTCGGTGTCGACATATGCCATGTTTGATAAAAATTACTTAAATCACTAACACTACTTAATACCTATAAAATCAATATTATTAAAGTTTAGGTTCGATTTTCTTGACGATGATACACGCATCCGTACGGTCGGTGTGGCACTGAACGCGTCAATATGATTCCATAGCGCGTCGGTCGACCGACGGTACGCATGCGGACGCGCTGGACTGACGGTCGTCGTACGCAGTGCGATTTTCATACCGCGCATTTCATACCGCGACCGACGCTCGCACCGACGGTCGGTCGAGCTCTAAAACAGGCCTAAAATTCAAACTTTTCGATAGACAGAAATTGTAATGTTCCTAAATAATTATATGGCAACACTAAGGTACTATTGAAATTGTTGTTTATAAAAGCACATACAAAGCTGTCTTGGGACTAGGCAACTCAAGGATGTGCCGATTCTCACAGCTGGGCAGTTCCTTCAATTCATTAAAGATGTAAGGCTTAGCTGTGAATAATAGCCATACATAGATCATACTGGTCGCAGTGATACTAGTATTATTAGAACTGCATGGCTACTGGCACAAAAACGAAAAAAAAAAACGGTACTAAGAAACATGCATGCTTTATTCTATCAAGAAAATTTGTTCTATGTCCACTGCAAATATCTACAATAATTTATACGTGATAGAGCCACGCCACAGTGTATATTATGGTTGTAGCTTGTAGCACGAACTGGTCGGCTCGACCGAGGAAGGAGCGCGCTTTCACAGAATACAGTTTATTGCTGCTGTGTTTAGTATGGTAAGTGTAAAGAACAGGAGATCATTCCATCTTAGTCCTCAAGGATGACAATGCGTCTGCATTTTGATTCTGAATTGAAGATAGATCTAGATGTCGATTTTACCATCAAGTCGACTTTTTGCTTATCTCTCACCCGTATTCTATTAAAAAAATCTTTTTGCGAACAGGTACGGAAATTACCGATATCATATGTCGGTACTCGCAACCTACATCCTCCAGAACAAAACATAAATCAATGATATAATCATTGACATTAATATTTATGCTTATCTACGTATCTCCATAATTTATTACGGAACAAATGTATAATACAAAATATATTTAAAAAAAGTTACTACTATTTGAGCAGTAGGCTTTGAAACGTCTTTGGTTTATCCTATATTCCTTAATAAACATCATGTATAACAACCTACGACTCGGTCTAATCAAGTCACACGTACGATAAACGTGGGTAAGAACAAACTCAGGAGCGAGCGAGCTCCTCAGGTTAGTTAAAGTCGAACAACATACATAATGCGGATATAACGTTATTATTAGAACATAACTTTAATCTTATAGTTTATTGCTGGAAGGACTAAATCACTACTGAATTTGGCCTTTGATAGACATATTTATAATATCTTGTTGTATACTTTTTCCACGAACATCAGATTTTACGGTAACATGCAGCCCAGCGAAAGCCTTTTAATTATGTCTCGAACGAAAGCAAAATGCGACTATCCAAAAATAAGTAGGTTTATAAGGCTAAAGTTTGAATTTTTAGAGTTTCCATATTTTATAATAAAGTATTGTACGTTATTTCTAGAAAATATATTTTGCACTTTATGGGGAAAATGAAGTACGTAAAATACTTTGTTTTGCCTACTCTGACAATTTTAAAGGTTTTTTTATATACTTATTGTTTGCGAAAATTGCTTACTAAAAACAAGTTGTAACATGTGTTGAATTAAGAAGACAGGAATAATAGGGAAACGAATAAAACATTGTTTCTCTAAAATAAATGATTTATATATGTTAACATAAGCATGAATGTTAAGATGGTGCTAAGGTGTTCACCAATAAAATTAATAGTTAGATATTGCTAAAAGCAACAAAAATTATACCTTATTTTCACACGTTGTACTTTGATTAAAATGATAATTATATAGAATATTTGCTTTTAAAAGTGGTGGCAACCCTGTTCTCACTGCAAACTGCATGCGTACCTACTATAGCAGGAAGCTCACGATTAACACAACAACAAGATATTAAAAATCTATCCGACGCGTAACTAACGCGCCTTTCATAATGACTGTAATGACTAATTTCATTATTGTTTATGATTTAACGATTTAAAAATATTTATAATTTTACCTTTAAAAATGAGACCATATTTAAAATTCAGTAGTGTTCATTTTATTTTATTTTGAATTGCGAGGTTTTTTTCTTTGCTTTTTCAATAAAGTCTGCGCTCTGCGCCACGTTCCGTTCACATAACAGAGTAGTTCACAGAACAGAGCGGATCGATGTTTATTCAACATAGATTACAATTCATTTTATTGAAAATCAGTTTTTTTATTTTTACCACTGGTTCAGCAAAAGTCTCTGTCTTAGGAAGACCTAGCAAGAAAACCGTGCAATATTATACAAACTACGAGTACTTACACAACGAAACCGCTTGGAAGCAACCACTTCAATCGCTTGGGTTACTATAATTATTGTCAACCATAGTTTCTTCTATATTATAACAATCCTTTTTGTACAGTTTTTGTTAATTAAAATATTTAAACTTGGTAATAGAGAGTATATTTTCTTCTATATTTTCCGGAACTTTGTTATAATAGCGTAGCATAGAACGAGAGTGAAAACTTATTACGTGAAAACGCAATAGCGACGAGAGACGTCGTCCAAGAGTACGAGTACCTATACCACCACGTTTAGGTCGACCACTGACTGACCTGAACTGAATGACTATCTGACGCTTCAGGGTCAGATAACATTCGGTAGCATCATATCAGCATAGCAACTGAACTTCAGGACAGCCCCCACTAGATGGAGAGACGACCTGGTAAGAACTGCAGGAAGTCGGTAAATGGAGGAGGCCCAAAACTGTACTTCGCCCCACATACCACGGATTCGAATCAAACGTTTTCTTCGTCGTTCTTTTACGTACAGAAAAAGAGTAAAATAATTGGCCAACAACAAGCATCTGC